TCTCTCACATACAAACGATTAGATTTGATTCATAAAATTTTTAAAAGTTACAAACGAAATGTACAACAGCTCATCCCATTTCTAAAATTGAGAACAATCGTTTTTGTTTTTTTTTGTGTATTCCAATAAAAAAGGAAAAGATTTTCATTCTTTCTTGTATTATCCAATAAGAAACTAAAATATAATCATAAAATAAAAGGAAACAAAATAAAGAAAAGAAAAACAATATTTGGAAAAAAAAATTTTTTGAACTAACACGTTTACAAAGGTCTATTAAACATTTCATACATGAGTTCATACGTACCCATTTACTACATCTATAGATGTACAAAATGAAAAAATAAAAAAATATTTTTTTTAAAGTATAAAAATTTTGCAAAGCGAATCATTTTCAAAATGTTTCTAAATATGTGTATGTATGTGTGTTTGAACATAAATGGTTGTACATCGCTTACAATATCCTTCTTTTTTTTTAATTTTATTAGATTCATATGTTTCTTGTACAATTTTTCTTATACACTTTAAGAAAACACAAAGAAAATTTTAAAGCAAAGTTTACAATTTGAAAATTGAATATGTAGAGAGAAAAAAAAAACACTGTGTGCAATACAAACTCTGTGTGAAAAATGTTGCCATAACAATTTTGTTTTCTTAATTTGCCGTACCACCATTATTTATTAATTTTCTATATCAGAAATAGAGTAATTAAAAATTTTCAAGGCTAATTTAATATCGAAAAAATTGACTTGATTTTCGAGAGTATTTTAATCGTAGTTACTATGATTACGGTACGGTATGATTTTTTCTAACTACCATTTAGTTAATGAGAAGACCTATGGCTATAATCTTCCATTAATTCTAGATATTTATTATAAGCGCTCTTAAATTTTGCATTTTTAATATTTTCTGGTCTTCTTTTACAAATTCAATAATTCTAATTTACGACATATTAATTTTTGAGTGAACTGTGGCCTGCTATCCTTACACATTTCACAGTTACAAGGAAAAACTTGCATTCATTTGCATTTCTCAATATTTTTCAAGCCATAAATTGCTTTAAGCCGCTAAGCCATAAATTATTAGAATAGTCCATGAATGTATTCGTAAATCATTTACTGTACTTCTTTGTCCAAAGTTCTCACCTTGTATCCATCCATTTTATTAATTTAGTTTGTTCGAAACACAAAATATATAATTTTTTTTTCAATATCTTATAGTTGGCATCGTTTCGATCAAATAAAAACGTTCTTTAGAGAACACTTTAGAGAACACAAATTTAAATAGAACTAAATAATAAGAAAAAAAAAATTCCTTTTTTCCTATTTTTCTCAAAAAAGAAATAATAATGAAAAAATAGTAAAAAGTATAGTAAAAATATAAAAAAAGGAAAACTTTAAAAGTTTCAGCCAATTTTAAAATTCTTTGTTATTAAATTTTTAGAAATTTGTATAACCTTTACTGCCCTCCTTGGGCAGAGTAAAAATTTTAAATTTTTTCGAAATTTTTGATAAATTCTTGCGTAAATAAATAAAGTAAGTGGAAATTAAAAAAAATAATATTTAGCGGATCCTTTCCAATTTTCTAAAAAATTTTTTTTAAATTATTTAAATGAAAATTTCTTAAAATTACTCATAGATGTCATTAAAATGAAAATTAGTTTGAATAAATAAGGTAGGAAAGTTAAAATTGAAGATTCTTAACTTCGGTAATTTTTGGAAATTTTCGGAAATGTTCGGAAATTTTAATATTTTTTTATAAATCTTCGGACAATTTCACAAATTTCAATAACAAAATTCAATTTTCTTCTTTTTTCAACCGTAGTCTCATTTATAAAATTTTAAAGTATTACAAATGAAGGTAGATATTATAAAATACAATCTTTTTAACTTAATATTGTAAATTAAAAATACTCTAAGGCAATACAAACAAGTATATTTTCTTCCTTTTTCCGTACACACGTACTTATATTCTTCCTTAAGGAAATTTTCTACACATAATATAAAAATTTCATTTACTTTAAGATTTAAAATTTCTCGAAACATACTTTTCAAATTCATATAACTATATTATACTATAATGTATGTATAACACTATATTATTACCATAAAAATAAAAAATATGAATATTACTATATGTAGACGTGTTTGTTATAACATGGCTACGAATACTTGAATTATATTATATATAAACACTTTAATAGAAATAATAATGTACATGAAAATATTTACGGTGTTCTTGCTGTTCAACCGTAATACTTTCCTTTTATACATAGTTATAAACAAATATGCGTATTGTATACTTAGAATCCGAATTTTTACATCCTTAATTATTATATAAATATACATTATGTAAGACATGAACGTCGGGACTCCATAAACATTGTGTACACTTTGGAACTTCAATTACAATAATAATATATAAGCCTACATACTGTATATACAAATTTTATACATAACATTATACACATTTGTCTATACGAAATTTATTATAGCATGAATTTGTATAAGAATCGAATGCGAACAACTTTAACTATTATAACATTTATTATATGGTTATTTTAAACAAAAAATACAATCTGTACTACATAAGTATTTACATATCTGCATAAGTTCAGGTCTATAATAATGTTGTTACAGTTATACACACAATATTATTTTACCGGTTTTCGGTCCTTAAAAATGTAAGCGGCATTATTACAAAAATAAAGAAAAAAAGGAGAAGGTATCGTTAAAAAATCCATTAAGGAAATAACAAAAACTTTTTGAATATACACATACTTACATACATAAATAAAAAAGGGAAAATAGGGATAAATTACTATATTAGAAACGATGTAATTTTGTATAAATAATATTTAAAAGTATATATATAGTATACATTTACATATACAAAAAAATTATAACTAAAATGTACAAATAAGAATTTGGTGTGGTCATTAAATAATCGACAGCATTGTTTACTTTGAAAAAAAGATTGTAAGAACCTCTTTTATGAACGCTTGTTTCTTACTAAACCTCTCTAAAGAAGAAGAACTCTAAAAATTCTTGGTAAAAATTCTAGATACGGTTCCAAGTGGAAACCCACTTCCTGGAGAATTGTTTATTTAATTTTGTTTACAAGCAAATTGAATTGAAATAAAAAAATTCCAACATGGCCACATACGGAAAATAAACTAAACAGACGGTTCCACTTTCCGAACTTAAATTTTCGATTTATTATACAAATAATGTGAAGCTTCTAAATTATGCATACAAAAATCATACATAAATCCTACAATAAAGTAGTTAAAAATTTTCTTCAAAATAAATGAAAAAGCAAAATCGGCTTTTGATTAAGCTGCAGTTTATGATATCCGACATGCCTTTAAACTAAATTCCATATACTCCAAAATAAACTCTGATACAAATCTTCTTTAAGCATAACTTGAAATGCAAGTACACAAACTAAAATACCACCAAACAGAAAGCATGTTAGGCATATTCTTGAGTCACAATACCTTCCTTGTTATATACCACACAATTGTTTAAAAATGCCAGTCTATTTGGAATTTTATGTGAACTATACACAAAAAAAAAAAAAAAACAATTTTGGAAATATCCTTTTGAAGCTTTAAAAAAAAAGCTCAAGAAATATTATTACTTTTATTACAAAAAAAAATGAAAACCATCAGGAGCAAAAAAAAAAAGAATAAAAACAAAAATTCAAGACAAAAACAATTTTACTTTATTAAATACTTTTGTGCCATCGTGTATTAATAAACACCCACCTCTGAAAATTTCTCCCGGACTTTCTTAAATTGTGTTGGCCGAGCCGGTATATGTACATACATAAGAACATTAATATTCTATTCTATTCTGTTTTTATTTTTCTTATTCTTATGATATTTTGAACCTTTATTTTATAAAAAAGGAGAAATAAAGGAAGAAAGGTGAAAAAATTAAGGGTTGAACAAAAAAAAAATAAGGAAAACAATAAAAACAGAACTCTATCGAATGATTTATATTTAGTTCGTGACTACCGGGGTCTGATCGAATTCATTTTCCATTTTTTTCCGCTCTCTCTCTCTCTCTCTCTCTCTTTCTCTCACTTACATTTTCTTTACGTATGTACTCGTACGTAAGAAAATTGAAAATTTTTACTAAAAATATTTTTAAATTTTTCAAAAATTAGTGTTGTTGATGTTTTGTACAAGAATCAAAGATAATTCTAGAAATTCTAGTAATTTGTTCGTAAGAGAAAATTTGAAATAACTACTTTAACCTTAATAAATCATTATAATAAAAAATTATGAAGTTTTTATTTTAAAATAACAATAAAATAGAAAATTCTTAATAATTTGAGATTATAGACAAATTAGTAAGTTTAGGGAGGATAAATTCATTCTATGTAAGATATAATATTTTAAAACTCTAGAGTTTTCGGGAATATATGAGTTCATTTGTGAATAGAACGCAATTTTGCCTATTTCTTTGTATAGCAGATAATAATATTCCGTTATATTGTAGAAATTCTGTTATTTGGGAATAGTAAACCAAACTTTAAACTCAATTATTAAAACTTTCAAGTTTATTTTCTATCTGTTGGAAAAAAGTCAATCGTCGGAAGAAATATGTGTGATTATTACTCTCAACTACTATTCTATACGCGTATATGCTAGTGCAGCTTATAATGGTACTCTATCTAATTAATTCTCTTATATTCTATTTATTATATATATGCTGGCGTTGTTGAAAGTATCGTATACTCTTTCGACACAAATTCGATAGACTAATTCGAAAAAAAAATTTCGATATTCTTTTTTATTTCTTAACATTATAAGAAATTTCTAGCATATTAGAAAATCTGTAACAATCATTAATACTCCACTTGTAGATTTTTTAAATTTATTATAAAAAGAAATGCTTTAAAATAATTTCTAAATTTATTTCAAAATTTTTTTTTAAATTTTTACTAAATATTATTTATTATTTTTTCTCTCTTTTACAGTTTGTCTAGCAGGATATCATGAAAAAAGACTTTTACACGATCTACTAGATCCTTATAATACTCTAGAACGACCGGTGCTAAATGAATCAGATCCTTTACAATTAAGTTTTGGATTAACATTAATGCAAATAATAGACGTGGTAAGTAGAGCAAATTTTCTGTTTTTGTTTTTTTTTGCAATTTACAAAGAGAAAAAAATTGTTCTTTATAGTACAAAAAATTTAAAGTACATTGGCACATACATAATATGAAAGAAGTAAATAACAGAAAAAACAAAAGGGTTAAATGAATATAACAAAAATTTTGTATTATATTTTTTATAAAATATTTAACACGAATAATCTTTGCATTTCCGTCTATTCTGATGGGAGGTAATTATTTAACAGAAAAGTGTTAGAATAGTTTTTCTTACTTTCAAAAAATTTGTCAATTCAAGAAATTTACTCTTCATCAATTCGAATTTAATACGAAATTCATTCGAAATTAATACGAAATTTATTCGAAATTCGAAAATAATTTGAAATTCGAAAATAATTGGGAAATTTATTCGAAATTCGTTAATTATTCGAAATTCGAAAGTAATTGGGAAATTTATTCGAAATTCGTAATTTATTCGAAATTCAAAATATCCTCGAAATTCGAAAATTATACGAAACTCATAAATATTCCAAATTTTTTCGAAATTCAATAATTTAACAATATTTTTATTTTTGTATAAAATTATAATTTACACTTAATACGAAAAATATTGATTTTCGAATAAATAATTTAATTGCATAATAGAATTACAAGTACTTGTATTTTAACTTTAAATATTTCAGAATTATTCTTATTGCCCAAACATTTTTCTTTTAGGTTTTAAACTTACTAAAGAAATCAATTATTCAAAATTATGAAGAATAAAGAATTTTACTAATTTTACAAAAGGAAATAAAATACAAAAATTTTATTTTAAATTTCTCGTGTAGCACGATAATTTTTTTTTTTTTGTAATTAAAATTTTTTGTTTTCGAAAACCCTTTTTCATTTTCAAAAAAAAAAAAATAGAAGAAAAAGGAGAATGAGTTGAAAACTTTTTTATTCTTTAAAAACTAAATTATTCAATAAAACAACACAAATTGCCTTAAAGTTATTTTTTGGCCGGGGGCGGGGGGACGGGGGAGCGGAGGGGAGTAAATAAATACATTTACAAAAATATTTAGCCCCCAGACTTAAATAATCATTCAAAAATATTTCGTATATAATAGATACGTATATACATATGCATATTTCGGTTTGCATAGATTTATAGTTCCCCATTGTGTATAGAATTATGTACAAATTAATGATTATCTAATCACCTCAAATTTATGTAATAAATATTTAAATATTAATTAATAGAAATTTTAATACATTTACAATATTATTTAAAACAAATATACTGCATTATTTGCTAATTTAGTAGACGTCTAAAGGATTGGAAAATGGAAAGGGAAGGAAGTCTGTATGACGAATATTTTGTTGTTTGAAAAGTTTTCAATCGATAGCCATGAATTTCTGTGGTTCTATCAAAAATCTGTTTAAGTTGAAAAGAAGCAAGTTCTGAGTAAATTAAGCTTAACGTTTAGAATTAATTTCAAAATAAAATCCTAAATTTCTGATCTAAAATTAGCAAATTTATAATATCAGCTATAGCAGATTATATTGAAATTTTTGGAAAATTCTTGGGCCCGCCTACCATATTATATTTGAAGTACAAATAATGTAAATTTAAACGAAATCTTGAATAAACTGTGGATAAACGGAATTTGAAATATAGAATAAAGAACTACTGAACTCGAGATACGCAATTATTTTTTGTGACCACAGATTTATATTCTTATTTACTGTTGATTTCATCAATATATAGCACGCATTACACATAAATTTATCCATAATATAGAACATACACACACACACATTCTATTATTAGAGTTTGCAAAACTTAAAGAATTTATATGTAGTAAAAAACGCAATATAAAAGTTTTTTTATTGTTTTTTTTTAAATATGCAAAGAAATGAAAAGAAAAATTTAAAATAGATTAGCGTAGTTGGCGGCTTTTTAATTTTTTAATTATTCTAGACTTTTTCTTCTCCCTTAAAATTTTTTTATTTTTTTTTTAAATTATGCACACACTATTCAAAGTACATTTACCCCATAACCTAATTTTTAATAAGAAATAATTTTAATATAAATGGTGTAAGAAAATAATTGACGTCTAAAATAAAAATGATTTATTTGGGAAATGTTTCTTATTTGTATGTAATATATAGAGCTGCGATGAAAATTGTTGAGTTTTCTTCTTTATTGAGTTTCTATTTTTAATTATAAAGTGTAGTAAAATATGTACAACTTAGTAGACTTTTAAAATTTTTGTTTTCTAATACAGTACACTCATTCACATTAAATTCTCAAATTAACCAACAAAAATATCAGTGAATTTTATCACGCTCATTGCAACAGCGTTTAATTTTCACCATCATCAAATACGAGCGTTCTATGCGCGAATATTTTAAAATTTACGATATCGGGTAAAACTACCTTGAGTATTCGTTAAAATATTTTAGGCGACCTTCCATGTTTAATATTATTTACTTATACTCGTATCATTTAAATATCTTAACAGCTTTCATATATAACAGCTTTTTGTAAAATACACCAGTCTTAAGGCATATAAGAAACTTTATACCTTAAGTTGAACAAAATACATATATTAATCCGAAAGCCAATTGAAGTTTTTTATTGAAGGGAACGTACTCTGAATTAAGTTCAACCTTATCTTCATAGAGCGACCGACTTCAACCGTCATACCAATTACTCTCCTTTGCTTAATTTAAATTAGATACCTAAAATTTAGACCTTATAACATTTTTTTATTAAAACTTTTCAATTTGTTTCAAACGTGATTAAGTATACAGTTTTAGTAAGTGAAAAATTGTACTTGCTTTGCACAATTAGTATTGATCTGATCAAAACTTGTTCTAATACTTTTTTTTTTTTGTTTTTGTAAAGTTAAAATTGATTCCTCTTGTGCATTATTAAGCACTATATTTCAATAAATTATTACAAAAGTTTTTTTTTCTGTTTGATCTCTAGAGTACATTTGTTCATAACTATCATGATTTTGTTTTTATTAAATTTTTCTTTCATCTTCCATTGAGATTTAGTAGTCAGCAACTTCTGATGTCATATTATATAATATGAAATTGTGTATAATAAATAAAATATAATATTTACGGTTTATTTTATGATAAAAAATATACAAATAAAATAAAGAATTTTTTTTAAAATATTAAAAAAACTATAAAAATAATAAAAAAAAATGTATATAAATCCATGCTTATGCTTCAGTATGGCATATATGAGTATAACTTCCGGCTTTGGAACTTAATGTGTTCACTCAATTTAACCGGTATACAATAACTTTAAAGTACAACACTGTCAATTATAACGCCAACCGATTATATGAGTAATGGGAAGAGAAATTACGCACATTAGTCCCGATAGATGCCTTTAAATTCTAATATGGGAAATAATCGGTTAGTTTTCACTCCGCTATTGCGGAATTTTCATATATAGTAGTGTTTCATTTTAAAATTACTTGGAACTACTTCAAATTAATTTACATTTTTTCATATACTTAAAAAGGATTGGAAGGAATAACAACTTTAGCTCAAAAATTCACCGCATATTTCAGTTAAACATCAACGAATATAAGCGTAATTTACGAAATATATAATTAAAAATCGATTAATATTAAAATTTAGAATCGATTTCCTAAACCATTTTTTAAAATTAACATTAAAAGTGTCAATTATAATTTTCCCCTTTATACGGAAATTATTTTCAAATCGCAATGTCAAATATTTATGACAATCATTTGACAACAATCATATGACAATAATCATTCTCTTATACATAGGTACAATGAAAACAAGTAAAAACGTTTCAGTCGGTATAAACCGATTGAATTATACCCTGCACCTTTCGTTATTATGTAGCAATTACACGAACCCGTGAAGTCATTCTATAGAAACTTCACGGATATGTCTGACCTATAATTGGACATCCGACTGCCAAGTTTCATGAATCTGACTTTATAATTTTTCCAAATATTTAAAATTAGCTTTAGGAGTTGTATGGCAAGTACCTGAACCTGTCAAGCAATTCCATCAAAACTTCATATATCTGATCTACAATTGGACACACAACTGCCAAGTTTCATGAATCTGACTTTATTATTTTTCCAAATATTAAGAATAAGCTTTTAGACTTGTATGGGAGCTACTCGAACCTGCCAAGCAATCCCACCAAAACTTTAGAAATATGTCTGACCTATAATTGGACACACGACTGCCAAGTCTCATGAATCTGACTTTATTATTTTTCCAAATATTAAGAATAAACTTTTAGACTTGTATGGGAGCTACTCGAACCTGCCAAGCAATCCCACCAAAACTTCAGAAATATATCTGACCTATAACTCGACATACAACTGCCAAGTTTCATGAATCTGACTTTATTATTTTTCCAAATATTTAAATTAAGCTTTTAGAGTTGTATGGCAAGTACCCGAACCTGTCAAGCAATTCCACTAAAACTTCACAAATATATCTGATCTACAATCGGACACAACTGCCAAGTTTCATGAATCTCACTTTATTGTTTTTCCAAATATTTAAAATTAGCTTCTGGAGTTGTATGGCAGGTACCCGAACCTGTCAAGCAATTCTTCTAAAACTTCAGAAATGCATTTGACCTATAATTGGACACATGACTACCAAGTTTCACGAATCTGACTTTATTATTTTGCCAAATATAAAAAATTTGCTGTTGGAGTTGTATGGCAGCCACCCGAACCGGTGCAGCTATCCCATTATAATTTTTAGAGCATGTGTAGAATATAATTGGACACATGTATACAAAATTTTATATTTATAGCTTTATTAGTTTTCGAAATATTTAAAATAAACTCCTTGAGTTGTATGGCAGCTACCCGAACCCGTTGTCCGAATTAGTCCAATAACAATAGGGTTCGTCCTCGGCACAAAAGAAAAAACTTGTGAAAGTTTGGTGTCGATAGCATTATTCGTTTTTGAGTTATCGTGCGATCGGACGGAC